AGGAGGTAGGGGCCCCAAAGGGTCGGGCTTCCGCCCCTGCTGTCAGCCCTGGGAAGCCCCAACTGGGCGGTGGGCCTTTATGGGGTCCGCGGACTCAGCCTCCGTGGTCTGAGGGGAGGAAGGCCTTGTCCTGAGGGCTGCTCTTTAAGTGAGGGGAGCGGAGAGGGCCGGGGGAGGGTGAGAGGACGAGGGAGGACTGAGGGAGGCCCGATCCAGGGAGTCGGACCCCGAATAACGCAGCTCTGCCCGCCAGGACTCCTGGCCAGGGGGGAGATGGGGCAACGTCAACCCACCCCTTCCTCCCCCTCACTCCTCACTGCTGCCTCCTGGGACCCTTGAAGTGAGGACCCTGTCTGAGGGGAGCAGACTCAGGCCAGCGGTCAGGCAGTGCCCAGAACCAAGGGGTCCTCCAGGAGGGAGGAAGGTGGGGTCCCCAAAGGACCGGCTTCCGCCCCTGCTGTCAGCCCTGGGAAGCCCCGGCTGGACGGTGGGCTGTGACGGGGTCCGCGGACTGGGCCTCTGTGGTCTGAGGGGAGGAAGGCCTTGTCCTGAGGGCTGCTCTTTAAGTGAGGGGAGCGGAGAGGGCCGGGGGAGGGTGAGAGGACGAGGGAGGACAGAGGGAGCCCCGCTCCAGGGAGTCGGACCCCGAATAACGCAGCTCTGCCCGCCAGGACTCCTGGCCATGGGGGAGATGGGGCAACGTCAACCCACACCTTCTACCCCCTCACTCCTCACTTCTGCCTCCTGGGACCCTTGAAGTGAGGACCCTGTCTGAGGGGAGCAGACTCAGGCCAGCGGTCAGGCAGTGCCCAGAACCAAGGGGTCCTCCAGGAGGGAGGAAGGTGGGGTCCCCAAAGGAGCAGCTTCCGCCCCTGCTGTCAGCCCTGGGAAGCCCCGACTGGACGGTGGGCTGTGACGGGGTCCGCGGACTGGTGAGATGCCAAGAGAAGATTGAGGAAGCCCCACCCCAGTGATTGGGTCCCTAAATCACTGAGTTCTCTCCCGTCCTGAGTCCCAGGCCTCGGAGGGGTGGGCAGTAGTCAGCCTGAGCCACCGCTGCCCTCCTCCTCCACCCCCTGGAACTTCCCATCACTTCTCTTGGCAGTGAAAGCCTTGGTGCGAGGGGAGCAGGGACTGCCAGGAACCAAGGTCTCATCTAGCAGGGAGGAGGGAGGGTTCCCCAGAATCTGTCTCCACCCTTGCTGTCAGCCTTGGGAAGCCCCTATAGGGCAGTGTGCTGTGACCTGCTCCACTGACTTCCTCCCTCTGGCCTGAGGGAGAGGAAGTCCTTGCCCTGAGGGCTTCCCTTGAGGTGAGAGGAGCAGAGAGGGCCAGGCTGTGTTAGGGCTTCAGGTGAGTTGCTGAGGGAGGGCTGAGGAAAGCCTGACCCAGGGAGCAGCACCCAAATAATGCAGCTCTGCCCCTGCCATGAGGGCTCATGGTGGGAGTGGAAAATCCTCAGTCTGAGTTCCCCGCCCCAACACACTCCTCCTGTCAGGTCTGCCTCCTGAGCTTCTGTGAGTCAGAACCTTGGTCCCAGGGGCCCAGACTCAGGTCCGAGGTCAGGCAGGGCCAGGACCCAAGGGCAACTCTGAGGGAAAAAGGAGGGACCCCCCCCACACACACACACACACATAATGGGCTTCTATCCTTGCTGCTAGCCTGGGAAGCCGTGGCGGTGCAGCCAGATGTGACTTAGTCCACCGACCCTGCTTTGGTGGTCTGAGGGAGGAGATGACCTTTATCTGAGGTGTGGACGTCAGGTGGAAGGCGTGGAGAGGGCCCAGGCTTTGTTAGGAGTCAAGGTGAGCCAGCCAGGGAGGAGGGAAGAAGGCCGGCGAAGCAAGTGGGATCCAGAGTAATGGAGCTCTGCCTCCACCATGAGTCCTGGGCCAGGTTGGGGGTGGGGGTGCGGAATCGTCGGGCTGAGCCCCCTCACTCCCTGTCAGTTTTGCCTCCTGGGACTCTGGGAGTGAGATCCTTGGTGTGTCCGGGGTGCATGGGGACAGGGATTCAGAGCATGCCAGATATCAAGGTCAGATTCCTGGAGGAGGAAGGAGCGGCCCTCAGAGCGTTGGGATTGGGTTCAGCCCCTGCTGTTAGCCTTGGGCAGCCCCAGGCAGAGTGGAGGCATGTGCAGTTGTCCATTGACTTCTGCCTTGGCGATTGGACAGAATGAGAGTCTTTGAGGGGAGAGGGCTCAGGCCCTGACTGATACCAAGGGCCAGGGAAACCTAGTCTCCAGAACAGGGGGCAGAAGCCTGTCCCTGCTGTGGGTGGGAAGACCCACTGAGGGGATCCCGAATCCCAGGATAGAGGAAAGCTATCCCTGCCCCTGTCATCAGAATGAGGCTTCTCCTGAATGCAGACTCTGGAATCTGAGAAGGGAGAACGCCGTTGGGCAGAGGGGTGGGAGCCCAGCCCTGCCACGTGTGAAGGGGGTGGTAAAGACTAAAGACTGAGCAGAACTTAGACTTCAGAAGAGAAAGGCAAGTCAGTTCCTGCTCTTGTCCCTGGAAGACCCCAGGCAAGGTGGCCCCATGTCCCATGTCTTAGCTTCTGCCTTCCTGGTGTGGGGCACCAGGTCAGCACTCCTTGGTCTAAGGAGTGTGGCCTCAGGTCAGCACAGGGAGGGCCTGAGGGACATGAGCAGATCCTCCATTTCATCCATAGAAGCCCTACAGAAACCAGTCCTTGCTGTGAGCACTAGAGATCCTCCGGTGCAACTGTGGGGAATAGATGCCCTCCGCCCCCAGATCTTTCTCAGTGCTCAGGGAGAGAGCGGCGTTGGTCTACAAGACCGATTCACAGGTCAGTAGACGTGCGAGGGCTCCGGCCCTGTCGGCAGTAAATATGAACACCTTGAGGACTGTACCAAAAAGAGCCTCCGTCCCATCGTCACATCGCCACCCCACACCCCTGAACCTGCTCTTCTGTGGACCTTGGGAACCCCACGTGGACATGTCTGATGCATGAGGTCGTCGGGAAGGTCATAACGTCTTTCTTTTTCTATGAAAGAGCGTGTCCCTGCTTCGCCGACAACCTATTAATACAGACTTCTCTCTCTCAGTTCTCACCAAGTGACGCCTAGGACAGAGGGGCATCTTCAGGGCTGCAGAGGGAGCTTGCCTGGTCCACGGACCGAGTGGTCTCAGGAGCTCCCACAAGTCAAGGTAAGGAGGCTGAGGGAGGATTGAGGGTACCCCCATCCCAGGACGGTGTTGGGGCACAAAGAAATCGGGCTTCTCCCTGCTGTCAGCCGTGAGAGGCCTGGCAGAGCAGTCAGGGGGGACCCCAAATTCATTTCTGGATCTTGGCATTCTGGGAGGGGAATGCCACGGTCTTGAGGCGTCTGGACTCGGGTGAGCAGAGGCAGGAGCCTAGGGCCTGCCAGAAGTCAAGGTGAGGACCAAGGGGACCTGACTCACCTGACCTGCCAGGGTGCCAGCCCTGCCCTGCCTCTCTGTCAGCCATGGGATGGCCCGGGGGACAGTGGCTGGATGGACTCCCCCTCCTCCTATTCAGGTGCTCTGTGGAGGTGGCCTGAGGAGAGACTGAGGTCCTGCCAGAGGTCCACGTGCTGTGGGGGCTCTCCATGGAAACCCAGGGCCACACCTGCCCCAAGCACTGGGGAGCCTACTGTGCTAGGCCCTCCCAAGCTACCATCAGCCCTGGAGCCTTGCTCTCTGCAGGCTGGCTGCACCCCGAGGAGCTGCCTCATGTGCTCTTTCAGGTTCTCAGGGGACAGGCCCACTGGGAGGGCCCACCGAAAGGAAAGACCTGCAAGTCATCCTTTGTTAGAGCAGTAACAAAGGGGGTCTTTCTGAACCGAGGCTACTCACACACTCTCTCCCCCTTCCCCCAGGCCTGTGGGTCCCCATCAGCCAGCTGCTGCCACACTTCTGCCCATTACCGTGGGCCAGTCGGAGTCCTATGCCTCACACGGAGGAGCCTCAGTTCTCAGTTCCAGATGCAGGCCTTCAGGCCCAGAAAGAGGCACCAGGCCTGGTGGGCGCCCAGGTCACTGAAGCCGAGGTGGAGGAGGCGGCCGTCACCGCCAGCCCTCTGTGCTCTAGCGTGACCCTGGGTGCCCCAGAGGAGGCACCTGATACCCCGAGTCTTCCGAGCACCTGCCTGACCACCCGCGCCATGGCAGTCGCTCCCCAGAGCCAATCCGCTGGGGGCTCCAGCAGTGAAGAAGAGCAGGAGCCGCACACCTTGCAGGATCCGGCGGGCCCTGTGTCCTCGCTTGGAGAAGCGCTAGATGAGAAGATGGTTGAATTGGTGCACTTCCTGCTCGACAAGTATCGCAGGAAGGAGCTGACCACGGAGGCAGAAATGCAGAACAGCGTCGTCCAGAATCACCAAGACCACTTCCCTTTGATCTTCAGTAAAGCCTCCGAGTGCCTGCATCTGCTCTTCGGCATCGACATGAAGGAGGTGGACGCCTCCGACCGCTCCTATGTCCTGGTCACCACCCTGGGCCTCACCTACGATGGGATGGTGGACGAAGACGAGAGCGTGCCCAAGACCGGCCTCTTGGTCATCGTCCTGGGCCTGATCTTGTTGGAGGACGACCACGCCCCTGAGAAGGAGATCTGGGAAGCGCTGAATGTGATGGGGGTGTATGCGGGGAGGGAGCACCACCGGTACGGGGAGCCCAGGAAGCTCCTCACTGAAGAGTGGGTGCAGGAAGACTACCTGGAGTACAGGCGGGTGCCCGGCAGTGATCCTGCCTGCTACGAGTTCTCGTGGGGGCCAAGGGCTCACGCTGAAACCAGCCAGATAAAAGTCCTAGATAATTTGTTAAAGGTCCATGGGAGTGATCGCAGATCCTTCCCATCTGAGTATGACGAGGCTTTGGGAGATGAGGAAGGAGGTGCCCAAGCGGGAGCTGCCCCCAGGGTCAGTGGAGGGGCGGGGGCCCAGGGCACGTTCCAGGACCCCATCTAGCAGCTTCTCCTTACCCGGGTGTGGTGGGCCCATTCTTCACCCCGCGGGAGGAGAACCGCCAGTGTGCCAAGTCGTAGAGGGCCGGGTGGGCTGGGGAACACGGTGTGTTCTGTCTCTGTGTTTCTGCTCCATGCGGTGACTTGGCAATCTACCCGTCCTGCCTTTTGGTCATTCTCACATGAGGGTTACATTAGCTTCAGCATCAAAGTTTAGGAATGACTTCGGTCACACTCGTAGCCGTTTACAGTTTTAGGGGGAACCGTTTTGCTTCTTGTTCCAACGGTTGGGGAAACCATCTTGTTTTTGTGATGTGGAGCCAGGTAACGTGGCAATGGAATAGGAATTTCTTTGGAAATGTGGAAGTGCTTTGCGTTAAAATTGATGAGGTCACGACATAGAGAAAAATTAGTAACAGACAGTACATTGTTGACTTCCTATCCCTTTTCTTCTTTAAAAGTAAAGCCTGTATGTACACCTGGATCTGCTTCGGTTCTTCCAGAATCTTCGAGCAGTTTGATGTCAATAAAGAATGTCTCCTACTCTTAGGCTTGTTCTTTCTCAAACGTTCACTGCGCATCTGCTCTCTGATGGCCTGTTAGTAGTGGGAGACCAGGATAAGCCAGAGCCGCCCCTACTCTTAGAACGGAAGCGTCTAGGAAGCAGCGACCACATGAGGAAGGTGGGGAGAGGACCTCTAAGACCCCCAAGGACAAGTCACAGAGGGGTCAGGGTGGGACTCCAGGTGAGTGCAGTGGAGTGCACATAGCCTGAGCCAAGGCGGTGTGGTGCTTTGGGGGACTGCACTTTCTCCTGTGGGGTTGAGCGGAACCAAGCTGGGCGGTGACAGGGAACAGACTCAGGTGTCAGGCCTCAGGACCGAGAGAAAATCCTGCTAGAGCCCGGAAGCCTGCTCTGGGCACTGCCTCCTGTGTGGCGGGTGAAGCAGGGAGACGCGCACCGAGGCCAGGTATGGGAGGCCTCACGCTCGTGCCAGTGCAGCCCGACGCAGTGCAGGCACTAGGTGCGGTCTCCCCATCCTGCACGGATTTCCAGAGAGGGTGAATCTCATGGCGTGAGTCCCAGGTGCCCCCAGCCAGGTGCTCTTCTGCCTAGTTAGGAGAGTCACAGCCGACTCTATGAAAAAGGGACCTTGGCTATGGTTTTCTCAAGTGAAATGTGGCCAGTCGTTAGCAAGGGCCAGGTTTTACGGCGGCAACATGGGTGAAAGCAATGTTTTGGATGTCAGGGGAGCCGAGGGTGCGGAAAGGACTTGCTTCTTGCCCTGAGCACCAGGCCCTTGGCTTAGTCACCCCCAGCAGGGTAGGTTCCCCAACACCTAAGCAAAATAGCACGTCCTCTTGGAGCGAACCTTCGCTTGGAGGGAGCGGCACTTTTCGCCGATTTTCTGTCCGGTTCCCGATTCAATGGCAAACTCCCTGAGCCGCCCTGGATAGGAACTTTCCCATGGAGAAACTGGCAGCGTCCGGGGTCACAGTAGCACTAGAAATAGCTGTCGCTGTGTCATATCCAGCAGATACCAGACCCCGTGTGCCAGCTGTGTCATACATTTCCTGCATCCCACCTGCCACACGCAACATGCTCTATCAGCCTCGTTTTACAGGCGGGGAACCCGAGGCTCACAGTGCTCGGTGATTTACCCAAGACCACCCGGCACGTACATGACAAGGCCGCTCTGACTTCCAGAAGCCAGGCCGTTCCCACTCCTCGCAGCCTGAGGTAGTCCCTCTGTCTCTCGTCTAATCTCTCCGCTCGGTATCCCATACCGTCTCTCAGGTGACACACAGAACCCCGTGCCCGTGGTGACGACGAGGATGAAGCACAATCTAGCGGGTCATCTCTGGGATAGTGGGAGGCGCAAAAAGTTTGTGGAAAACGAATGCGATGAGAAAATGGCATGGAGGTCAAAACTTTTTGGTGCCAAGATAAACTTGGCCTTCAGTCCCATGTTTACACACAGACCTTGCATCCCCCTGAGACGGACCTTGGGTCCTCCTGGCCCAGTGTTCCTTGAGGCTTGCTCTGCCCAGGTGTGAGCTCTCCTGTCCACAACCAGCACGTGCCTGCACTACCGCCTCCTCGGCCGGCCCCCACGTGCCATCCTGTCCAGTCCTGGGACCTGGCCGGCTGCCCAGCTTCTCCCTGTGGCCTCCTCTGAGTGCTAAATCTACTCCATGTGAGACAGCCCAGAATGCCCTGCCCTCCAACTCCTGGAGAGCATCTCTCCTCCCCGTAGAAGTCCTCTCCTGTGCCAAGACCATTACAGGAAAGTTCCCTTTGGATCCTGACGTCAGATCCCAGGTCATCGTCTGCTGTGTCCCACACTTCTCCGAATGGCTGGCGAGGGGAGTGTGACTTAGCACCTTTTTGGCACAGGCGACTGGCTTCGTGGAAGACCATTTTTCCACAGACCAGCGTGGGGGCATGGTTTCAGGATGATTCGCATACATTACATTTATTGGGCAGTTTCTTTCTTTTTTATCTCAGGATGATTCATATGCATTCTATTTCTTGGGCAGTTTCTTTCGATTTTATCGCATTGTAATAGAACACGAAATATTAAGTCATCCAGGAAGTCGTGAAGTATTTTTCTATGCTTTTCCATGCAAAAATGTGTCATGACTATCCCGACGACCCAATAGTGTTAAACTCACTCTAGCGCGGTGTTTACAGCTGTCCCCAGTGTTGGCGTCGCCGCCTCAGCTTCAACTCAGGTTATCGGCCATTAGATTCTCCCAAGGAGCCCGCAGCCTAGACCCCTCACACGTGCAGTTCCCAATAGGGCGTGCGGTCCTAGGAGAACCGATGCCGCCGCTCATCTGACAGCAGGTGGCTCTCGGGTATCAATGGGAATGCTGGGGTTGTCCGTAGATACAGATGAACTTTCGCTGGATGGCCTGCCGCTCACCTCCTGCTATGCAGCGTGATTCCCAATAGGTCACACACCGGTATAGATCGGTGTGGCCTGGGGGTTGGGGACCCCTGACCTAGCAGACAGTCTCTCATACTTGAGATTCAGTTAGAAAGGGCTTTCAGAAGCATCCTGGTATCTGCAACAGAATCCAGCAGAGTGTTGCACTGGAAACTGGACACTGGACACACACACTGATGAAAGGGTCCGCCTTGGTGGTCAAGACCAAAGACTCCCGGGAAACAGCAGTTAGCGTAATGGCTGTGTCGCTGGACTCCCACGTAGTCGACCGTGGTTCGCGTCCCGGATCCGGTGGCTTAAAACTCATGCCGGGCGTGCGTGTGTGCACCCAAGATCCCAAGAGGAGAACGGAGGAGAAGGGATTGCGGCGTGACCATCCCCCCTGGGAGTTGATTTCTCGCTTTCTGTCTCTCTGTCTCTCTCTGTCTGTCTGGCGAGCGCACGCACCCTGTACTGAAAAACCTCTCAAAAACAAACAAACAAACAAAGACTTCCATGGAAATCACTGTGCTGCCAACACACTCTGAGTCTGGTCTTCTGAAACCCTGTGGTCTCCAGGAGGTGAGAAATGCTTCCTGGTGGGGCTTGCTAACTCCAATTTGAAAACAATTTGACCAGATTTCTCACTGAGTTATCATAATCCTCCTGCCTCAGCCTTCTGAGTAGCTGGGACCGCAGGTGGCTGCCAAAGTGCCTGGCTCTTTTAGGCATAGCGAGCGTCTCTTGCTATGTTGTCCAGGCCAGCCTCCCGGGTCACTGGTATTACAGGCACATGCCACAGGCCTCGGCTTGCAGGTCAGCCAGGAAAGCAAGCCTGGGTCTCCTATGTGGTACCGAGCTGCAGAGCGCAGCGTCTTAGCAGCAAACAGCAACACGCCTGGCCTCAGACTTCTGCTTTCTCTTGTCCGGTGCCCATCCGGCAGGAAAATTGGCTTCCAGTGTACATGAAGTCACCTGCACAGGTGTCCAGGTAACATACTCGGGCCATGGATCCGTAAGGAGAAAATGGGCCGCCTATGAGGCGACAGACGTCATCACAAAGCGTGGCACAGAGAACAGCTATTGCGTGAAGGAAGCCCGCGTTCTCTGCTGAAACTTACGGGATCCTTCAAAACCTAAACAAAGTCGTGCATTTGAAACTGGCCGTCACATAGGATTTGCGATATGCCTCCCGCCGCTTCTGAGCCACGCCAATCACCCGATGGCCTCTTTGCCTCGATTTTGTCATCCTTCAAATGAGTGTGTTATAGTGCAAGGTCAGAGTGTTGGCTTGACTTCCTGCCCGAGGCCACCTGGAGGAGAGATGCCTGGCTCACAGGAAGTGCTGCGGAAGTGCCTTTTGTCATAGAGTGTCTGAGATGTACCCTTCCCTCCTCTACATCCCGGTATGTGTGAATCTGTACATGCCTTGCGATCTGTATCTCCAGTGCTCGATCCACTTGCTTGTTTTCCCCTGCAACTCTGGCGCATTCACTCCAGATCTGGGAACTCTGCACGCATGGCATTGCTGGTTCTAACCCTGCGTGGACTGAGGGTCAAGCCTACTGAGCCAGGGCAGGGAGTAGTTGGTTGGTCTGTGGAAGCCGGCCCTAGGGGCTTCTAAGACATCCTGCAGGCCCGCCCTCCCTGCTCCCAGCAGCACACACATGCTCTGTGAGGGAGGGCCCTCCCGGTGGACAGGCTGCATGGCAAGAAAACGGCCCCACACTGCACCTGCTCCTAGCCCCCCATGTCCATGTTTCTTGGGAGAGCTTGAGTGACATCCCCGATTCTCCCCACCATAGCTCGGAATTGCAGGGTGGCCCCTCCCCCCGTGGCTATTTCGAAGGTATTCTCGCGCGCGGAATTCTTTCCATGGTTTGAAATGGCCAACGGTTAGCAAATTGCTGTCTGCGAAGCTCTGTGCCTTCACGTTGCCTATTTCCACTTCTGCATTGTTGCCCTGTTAGGAAGGAGCCAGAATAGGAAGCGTGTCCCCAGGCCAAGATGATGTGTGCGCCAGGAGCCTAGTGAGCTGGGAGCTGCCTCTCAGGGGCCTGGGTGAGCCTAAAAGATTAGTCTGCTGACCGAGCCTTTCCCATCCTGCACCCCTAGTGATCCCTCAGTCATCGCTGTGTCGCAGAAATGCCATGTCGCACGTGGCAGTGACCTAAGAGAATCTGGTAGAACATGGGAGTGGGGGCAACAGGTACTGCCTGTAGCAACTAGAAACTTATAATAGGAGAAAAGATGGCTGCTCTGGGGATGTGGGGCGGCCCACTTGAGGCAGGGCAGGAGCAGCTGTTGTTTCCAGGGCCCTTGCCTGTTATCATGAGCGCGTTCCGAGCACCGGCTGTATACCAGGCTCCAGGGGTGCAGGCAGGCAGTGGCAAACATCCTGGGACCCCTGAGCTGAGTCCTGAAGCACAGAGAACTGGAGAGCACACGCACGAGACTGCACGTAGGCCGGCTGAAGGGCAGGCAGACCCGGTGGTCCATGGGGCGGGAGAGATGGGAGTCTGAGGCCAAGAGGCCTGGGTGGCCAGCCCGGAGGCCTCAGTGGCTTCTTCCCCT